TTCGATTGTGTTCACCATGAAACATTAATCAGTAAACTTCTCAAGCATTATCAATAATTGGAAATTGCATATCCAGGGCTCGCTGTTGTATGGAAACCAATTGTTGGTCAGAGATAGCAAATTGTGGACCACGTTATCGTACAATGATCAGATTTTTCTGTTACCTATCGTCCACGCCTACGGAACAAATGAACGTCTAATAACTCTTGACCTACGCCCTCAAATGGTGACACGCTACCGAAACAATTACGATAATAATATGCAACATAATACAAGCCAGCGAAGAAGATAAGTCAATTTTTACCATCCATCAAATGTAATATTCTTCTACAAGATGCAGGAGTGTGCAAGCTAGATTGTGAATGTGATCTCTCTTACATAGGTCAATCAAAAAGATCTATAAAAACCCGCGTGAAGGAACATATAGCTCACGTGAAGCACCGATGCTCCAGGAAGTCTGCAGTCTGTGAACATGTTCAAGATCGTCCTCATCATTACATTAGATTTTATAAACACCAAATCCTCGCAAAAGAACGTCGATTCCTACCAAGAATGATACGCGAGGCTATTGAAATTAAAAAAAACACATCCTAATAATAATTTCAATAGAGAAGATGGATGGGTGCTGCCATCTGCTTGGGATCCTATAATTAACGAAATTAAATCCAAACACAAGCATACCACTGCAAGACTTTAAGATACGTGGTAGAGCCACGCTGCAGCTATCTTATAGTTACAGCACGAATGCGTCGGCTGGACCGGGGAAGGACCACGCTCTCACAGAATATCAGCGTAAAACAGCAGCTTAATACTGCTGTGTTTCGTATGGTGAGTATAACAGAACTTTTTTTACTGGTTACGTGGCATTCCGTCTTAGTTCTCAGGGGTGACAAAGCACCTGCGTTTTGATTCTTATTCGAGGATAAATGCAGACGTCTATGGGCCACACCACAGCATCCACTCACTATTTAATATTCAAAAACTGAAGGAAGGCAGGCTAACTATGACATTAGGACGTCAAACATCTCCCCCCCCCCCCCCGCTATCATGAGGGCTGTAAAGCACCCGAAACGTCGGGAATTAAATATAAGTTAATATAAGTAAATTAAACGCGATAAAATCTTTTATATATAGTTTTATTCAATACGATAAACAATGACCATGCCTCAATAAACCATGTTTAATGGATTTTGTGAACTGTTTGCAGCCTCACAAGTTTTCCACTACCCCATATCGTTGAGTGTCGTCATAGAATACTATAATACACACTAGAATGGCTGTCAAACTTATTTTGTACGAGGATAGGCGTCGCCGAGAGCACACATACAAGCAATCACGTAGTATTATTACTACTAACAACCCGATTCGTTGTGTTGACAGACAGAATTTAATACGTAGATATTTTATTTGTAAATAGCGTGCAATTTGGCATTTTCTAAATAATTTGCATGCGAAATTTGGAAACTATTGTTACGTCAAAACATATCTCGTGTTGACATTTATACGTGTGAATTGACGTGTTAGTGACATTCTAATGACTACACGGGCTCCGCCCACTCCCCCGTTCTACTATGAATGTAATTGTAGTATTCTATGGGTGTCGTAAGTGCCAGCAGAGTAAAACTAAAACAGAAGATGGCCAGCAGCATCCTCCTGATAACAACTCAAAATAATAGAAAATTGCGGTTGCAAAGCTTAGCAACTAAAATAAAAAAAATCCTTCCTGTGAGGCAATCTGTGGGACAATTGTATGTTCAGCAGTGGACTTTTATAGGTTATATACTTATATTTGAAACAGGTATATCGGAATAGTGAAATTTACATAACGAGGGTAGACAAGGTTTTACTACAGATAATCTATCTAGCTGTCATTTTCCTGATTTGCAACATAAAACAGTATCAATAATTGATGATAATAGAATTCTATAATACACAATAGAATGGCTGTCAACCTTATTTTGTTCGAGGGTCGGCGTCGCCTGGAGCACACATACATGCAATTATGTAGTATTATCACTACTACCAACTCGATTCGCTGTGTTGACAGACAGACTTTAATACGTATTTATTTGTAAATAGCGTGCAATTTGGCATTTTCTAAATAATTTGCATGCGAAATTTGGAAACGATTGTTACGTCAAAACACATCTCTTGTTGACATTTATACGTGTGAATTGACGTGTTAGTAATATTTTAGTAGTTACACGGGCTCCGCCCACTCCTCCGTTCTATTATGTATATAATTATAGTATTCTATGTTGGTAATGGTATATTTGAAAGATATATATCGGAATAGTGAACTTTACGCAACGAGGGTAGACGAGGTTTTACTACAGATAATCTATCTAGCGGTCATTTTGCTGATTTACAACATAAAACAGTATCAATAATTGGTGATGTTATATTTGAAAGAGGTATATCGAAATACTGAACTTTACGCAACGGAGGTAGACAAGGTTTTACTACAGATAATCTATCTAGCGGGTATTTTGCTGATTTACAATATAAAACACAAGTGTAAAGTTTGCTAATTCGTTTTTCGGATCGTTGAATCCGTTGGTTCGTTTATGGGCTCGTTTGTTAGTTCCTTTGTAAGTTTTTATGATTCACTAACTAAATGTTTATATCCAGTTAAAGGCATTATGTATTTGTATGTATGTGTATATATATATATATATATATATATATAAATATTTGTGCTGACGTATGTATTTATTTTATCCCCATATGTGTTGTATAATAACAGAGTGCACACCTTATAATCATTTATTAATCATATATCTTTGAAACTGGCCTATTGGAAGAAATTTCATTATGAGATAAGTAGGGCTTTTGTACAAACTTTTCATCATGATGTGTCCTTTCCCTTACTTGTGTGTAAATAAATAAAAGCATAAATAAATCATGGTATCACAAAAGCACTAATTCCACGCGAACGAAGTCGCGGGGCACAGCTAGCTTATATTATGAAATTGAATACGATGTGATGTGTGGTTAAGACTGCATGATAAGACAAATTGCTATTCAGCACGCATGCCTAACCTATGGGTTATTTCTGCGAGAATGGCACTTTGTCTGTTCTTAATAAGAAATTGTTACCACAGACCATTGTTATCATCCATAATCACACATTGTTAAGTAAATTAACGTTACCATGGTCTGTTATTATATTGTTTGTAAGTATAGTTAAAAAAACTAATTTTATTCCTTCAGTAAAATTAATTTTACAGAGTCAATTGCGTTTAATTTTAACTATATTAATACCCGCGTTGCGGTTGGTTCAGTTCCATGTAGATGCTGTAAAGCGCCCGCAACGCCGGGGTCTAATATACCTAGTTATAATTAAACGAGATAAAATCCCTAAAATTAATTAACTTATTATATTGAACAAAACTTGTACAATGTTATTCATGTAATTTTATCATCCCGTGAGAGTGTCATAAACACATAAGTGGCGACAGAGAGATGACAATTCAAAATAATAAAATGTTTGCCTACCCGCCTGAATCGTGGCAACTTCCTATAAATATATTTTATGTATTATATTAAGTGGATCTGTGGTCCATACACATCATATCATAGCTATCACATCTATTCTCGAATAATGTTCTCGAATAATAAATATGTAGATGTGTTGTCACTTCTGAGGACTAAGATGGAATGCCCCGTTTGCAGTAAAAAAGGGTCTCCGGTTCTACCATCTGCGCAGGACGGGATTATAGTGCCAAACACAGATGCACTCTTTATTCCTTCACTCTCACAGCCCGACGGTAATCCGACACTATCAGAGATATCGTGCGTAGGACTAACGCAAACGGCTCTATGAGCTTTCCGAGGCACGGCTGGGGGTGAAACAACACATACTGCCTGACTTCGGGCTGCTACTGAGTATTTCTTTACAGAAAAACCCAAAACCCAACAGCAGATTATTGTCCAACCCGTATTCAAACCCATGACCTCACGATCTGATCGCGTTTACGACCACTAGACCAAGTATACTATTGCAAATGAGGCAATATATCTGGAAGGCCTATGTTTATCCGAAGACTTTTGATAGGTTTTAGTGTAATGGTTTTATTTTTAAATGTGTAGCCTATTTAAATTAATTCGGACAAAGGCTTCCTTTCGTTTCTGAGAAGGTTATGTTTGTTACGTTACTCAAGGTCATTTTCGTGTAGTAAAGTAAAGCAACAAAAAAATATCTGAAAAAAAATGAGCTTTTGTAATTTGCGTTGCTCTTTTTGATGGCGTAAAACTAACGAATCGACATAAGAGCACTTATGCTTTTGTTCCCCTTAAGGTATGATATTATGGCCTACTTCTGGGCACAGGTTGGTTTGTCACATCGGAAGACCAACATATCTGGACAAATATTGAAAATGCCGGGAGTTTGGGGAAGTTGTCGAGAGAAATAAATATTAAAAATAAAAAGTTTATTTTTTGGAGAGGATGTTACGAGAATACTTTAAACAAAATTAATTTAAGTATAGTAGACTTTACTAGAGTCCACCAATTTGTATTCAGAAAAGAACTTTGAAGTAAATTCAAACAATTTACTTCAAAGTTCAGTTTAATTACTAAATCAGATTTTATTAAATCAAAGGCTATAAGTTAACTTTACGAGAAGCTGTTTGTCTGGACTTTTTGAGTTTTGTCGGGATTCCAGGAGAGATCGGGAGATCCAGACTAATCCCGACCGTCTGGCAACTCTAGGCACAGATCTCATCTCGATAACTGCGGGAGATTAAGGGCCATGAATTCCTAACCGTACTTCTCAAATTCATGTCTTTTAGGAATAATTTTTCATAATCGTCCAAATTGTTTACTGTCTCCGGCGTAGGTAATTTACAACTAAAATTTAGTATACTATACGAAATGGATATACTGCCATCTATCAAATGTCATACGAACTTCTTTCCTTTATGCGACTTTTTTGCATTTCCCAAGGCACGAAATGGGGTGATAAATTCACATACTTATCCTGTTTCTTTTTGTTACAGGTTACCTACAAGGCCGCTATTGTTAACGGTAATTTTAAAAATGGAATTAAAGATTTTGCTGTACAAATAATGGAGGCTTCGAAACAGGTAAGAATTCATTTTTCATATCTATTATCACCAGGTGAACTGTGTGCTCGTTTGTCACTTTCATTCTATAAAAAAAATGTTGACTCCGTATTCTCAACGTTTACTAACGTTAAAAATATTCTATTTCAGCACGCCGATGTAGTTTTATTATCATCGGAGGTTTCCGGATTAGAATCATGCCCCCACGTAGCCTGCGCTTCTGATAATTATGACGAGGTAATTATAAAATAATATTTTCCTTTTAAATTGTTCCTACATAAATTGAACATATTATAAATAAAAACAACTTTAAACTTTTTCTCTCCATTCGTTTTAATCTTTCTCATTTTTTTAAAATACAATTGTTTTGTGTAATAAAATTGCTTCATATAAATATAGTTTTATTGTCTTCGTAATTATTTTGTGTTAAATTTCATTTAACATTTCCTTAATAATTGTGAAGAATATACTGGATTTTTTTACCGTCTGGAAAAAATAGGGTCTAATTTTATATATTTTTTACATGAACTTATGAAATTGATCTATCAACCAATGCTACTAATTGGATACGAGTACATATTATTTTAATTTCGATAGTTTTTAATTGATTTATTTAATTGGTTCAAAATTTTTGTTGTTATTAAAGATAGTTTGATCTAGTCATTAATCAAGTTGGTGGTACACCAAAATACCTCTCAATGTTTTATCTACATGCATTTTATGTTTCTTTAATTTATTTTAGCTTGTAAGGGATGCGTCACACATGGCAAAGAAATTCGACTTGTACATCGTGATGCATTTGTATGAGAAAATGCGGTGCAAAAGCAGCGAAGAGCTGATTAGAAGCAACTTGGTGTTTGACAGGAAAGGGGCAGTTGTGGCAAAGTAAGTGTATTTTAAAATAAGCACGCGCCTAATCGAAGTATTCCTTTACCGCCCGCACTTGGTACATCAAGCAAAAAAGCAATTTACAATTGTTATTTCGTTGATGCCGATGGGAATCGAATCCGGGTTGCTCGCCTACTTCGAAATTCACAGCGAGCACTTAGCCCCGATACCACGGTTTCTTTAAACTATGCTGTAGCAGTAATAAGTATTTATAATATTATGCTGAGGTAGAACTCGTCCTACTGGATAGGTATCTTTGTTTGAAGTTGGTTCCAGGTACCACGGGCTGCAGTTAGTACATACTATCTGGTGGACTTTGTTGCTCGTTTTTAACTTTAATTTTCAAACAAAGCCCGGTCCTGAGCTAACCTGCGTGGACTCCCTACACGTCTTCAGTCACTGCGTCTAGTGGGGGGACTCTACGCTTGCCGATTTAAGGCTGTCATTCTAGAAACATTCTAGCCTATCGAATGATGGCAGAAAATCTAACCCAATTATGCTGAACCTATATCCTATAAACTGGTGATACTGGCAGCATTACCTGTAGGAATGTAAGTTCTACGTTAGCTAACTCTCTATTTTTAAGAAATCCGACATTGAATAAATATTTACCAAGAAATAATTAGTAAAAAAACGTGTTTCCTTATGTACTAATTTTAAATAATTAATATTTTGTTTTATACAATTATTAAAAATAGGCAAATGTTGTGAGATCACACAGCCTTTTATACATCATAACTTTTAAATTAATTTGAAGTAATTAAGGCATAAGTAATTTCTTAAAAAAAAAACTATAACGACACACGTTTCTTTAAATTAACCTAAAATGTATGCTTAAACATAATTTTTTTTAGAATCTGACATACTAAGCGCAAGGCTATATAAATTAGTTACATCAATTTTGTTAATGCAAGCATCGCTTATCATCCATTCGTATCAATTGTTTCATTTTAAATATATTCAAATGTTATTTGAATGTACATATTGGCAACAATTACAATGACATAGTTGAAAAGAAAAAATTAAGGTCAATAGAGACACGGGTTTGATAAATTTTCTCAGAATTGTTTTTAATTAATGGCGTTATTTTAATTTGAATAGCTATATTTTACTTATTTTTAAAGTAATCATTGTACGTAAATGTTTGTTATTATTCGTAGCTAGCTTATCTATTGGGGATGGAAGAGATTGAACTGGACTCAGATCCTCCGGATGATTTTATTTTATTTTATTTATTACGGGTAACAACAGCCTTCATTCTGTGAAAAAAAAATCTTATATAATATGTTTTACTTAAGGCCAATAATGGTCATCCACTTTTCGCAATTTAGCACAAATCGGAAGTATGAAAAGTTGAAAAAAAGAATATTACAAAACCTTTAATCGAAAACAGTACTTAATTTAAAATGTTTGTCATGGCTGACCTAGAAAATTATTTATGCTTCAGTGGGATAATATTAACACTTGTAAGCACACACATATACACATATACATATAACCATATAATAATTAAATACATATAGGCAAGTACATACATATACTAACATTTAAATAAATATACACACATACAATACATTCATGTACACATTCACATACATACATTACATTAAATTCTTTTTGTGTCAATTAGCGAATTGAAGACATATAACTTGAGATGTTACTATGGATTTACAAAACTACAGAGGCTACCAACATAAACAATAAGGGTAAATTGTCTACTCTCCTGTACTACCTTTCGCTTAAATAATTTTTTTGAATGGATAAATGGGTGGCCGGTAAATCTGGATCTTCACCCGACTTTTTTATTAATTATAGTTCTACCGACACATTTCATCAGACTGATGCTGTTAATTCTATGAAACGTAAAGCTTATAATATATCGTCCTTAAATTTAGAACCTAAGAAGAAAGTGTCTACTCTTCCCTCAGCAGCCATACAGAATATATTTGTTCATCCTTTATCTGAAGAAAAGAAACGCTACAATAGTAATGACAGTGCACCTTTTTATTGTTCACATTATGAAACTTGAAATGAAATTTCTACACATTGATTAAAACTACTTTTACGGACGTTTCGGGTGCTTTCCAGCACCAATGGTCACGGGGGACTGAGGTGATTGACGTCCCGATGTCATTGTTAAACCCGGAGTACCTTCAGCTGAACACCTTCAGTGTTCCTGTGTAGTGTAGTGTAGTGTTCGCGTAAATATAAGAAAACATTATGAAATTTCTATTTAATTTTCTACACCCCAACTAGCTGACGATTTTGTTATAAATGCATTACATGCTAAAGCAAATGTTGTAGCCGTAATTCCTACCTATGCTATTACGAGAATGGGTATCATTATAGGTATTCGAGTCGATGTAGGTATGGATGAATTCGTTTTTGCATCAAAAGTTCCTTCTTCTACGGAAATAATTCGCACTCGTCGTATAAACCGTAAAGTTATTAAAGCAGACAATGTTGAGTGCATCCAACAAACAATCGTTATTACGTTCTCCGGCAAATTATTACTCTCACATGTTTTTGCCTATTTCACTTCATATCCTGTAGAACCTTATCTCGTACCTACAATACAATGTTATAACTGCCGTCGTTTTGGTCATGTTAAGTCTATTTCACTTCATATCCTTACGGAATCATCAATCTACGGAAACGGGAACTAGTCGAATACTCTGTGTGACTTTCATGAAACTTGACGCTGGTAGAATCCATAGGGAGTTGCCAAACTAGGAAAAAAAGGTCAATAGATTTTTAAAGCTTATATATGCGTTATTTTTAATATATCTTTAAGAGAAATTAGATAGGATAGGACTAGAATTGACGTCTAAAAATGCTCTGCTTGGGGACGGGTTGACGTTATAGACTATAGACCATAAGATCGATCATCTCATTTTTCCACCACTCCAAAAAACTACAGTTTTTTATTAATTTTTTTTATAAAAAACTAAATGATTTAGTTACAGAAAACCACTAAACATTCAAGCATTATGTAATGCAACTTCAACAAAGATGGCAAGTTTTACCACGGACTTTGACGTGAACTTCCTCATCCTTATGAATGAAGATATCGTGCTTCAAGACCTTACGAGCTTCAAGAATATGAACTTCATAGTTACAGGTGGATCTACTGCGGATATGATGTATTTGAGAGGTAAGACAATTTTCTAAGATATCACAATACTGTATTGATCGTAACACGAAATAAAGACATTGTTTTTGTTGCATCTTTTATAATATTTGATGTTGTATTTTATCTGAAAAATCTTAATATCTGTTGTGGAAGTGGCATGAAGATTCCGTTAGATGGCGGTATAAACAATTCGAGTTAAGACTAAAAGCACTTTATAATAAAGAATCGTAGATAATACTACTTATACTATATAGGACACATATAACAGCTTAATACTGCTGTGTTTCGTATGCAGTATGTAGAGAACCGGTGATCCTTTTTATTGGCAACGGAGATCTTCTGTATTGGTGACGAGGCATTCTATCTTAGTTCATAGAAATTACAAGTCACATAGCCGTGGTAAAGTATGTAGGTATCTATCGGCGCCACAGCATCCACTTACGTTTAGGTGTAATGTGTGCTCGTTTGTCACCTTTATTATATGCTTAATAATTTTTTCTGCTTAATAATAATTAACTTCTGTAATATTAAATATTTCAGTTGTAGTAATTTTTAAATTCAGTTTTTACAATCGTTCTAATGGAATTTTCCAATTCTTTCGCATCCCTTACGGTATGGATTATATTTTTAAGATATCTCAGTCCACCTGATGGTAATTGTCCACTGTTTCGAACAACTACAATCAAGAGCCAATAGGCATTGTCTTGTAGAGGACTAAATGCCTTTGAACAAAGTGTCTTAACTTTTAACCTGATGGATGTATGATGGATGTGATAATGGATGGAGTAGAACCATGCTACAGCATATAATGGCCGGATCACGAATGGGTTGGCTCCACTTCGAAAAGATCATGCTCTCAGAATACCAGCGTTACATTTTTTTATTTTACTTTGCAGTGTTTATAATATATAGGGTTATTTTTCAAAGAGTAGCTAAATTTTAAACTTAAGTTCAAATATATAAATAATGATTTAACTTTATTGAAATTTTTGGAAAAACGAGTAAATAAATAAGGCTTCTACTTTTATTTGAAATTATTCAAAATTGTATGTAATTTATGGACAACAACAAAATGAACACAATACGAATGAGCACAGTAAAATGTATTAAAATAATGCATTACCCACGCATTTTAAATTTAAAAAATTAAAAGGACAGAATGTCATTAAATCAAATTAAATTTTCTTCACCATTTACCTATATCACTTATTCTCTTCGATCAACAATACCAACTAGATAACGGGTCACGTACAAAATCATAGCTAAATACTGTCCGCGTGAATATAAACTTAAACAGCTACATTTGTTTACTAAAGAAAAGAGACAAAAATTAAAATAGTTTTAGGCCTCTGCCTCTAATCTTGCGGGCAGCGGGACGGCAGCGGCGGCGGCGCGGGTGCGGCAGGATCTTATGCGTAAAATCAAATGGACCGACTCTCGAAAACAGCGGCTTGGCAGCGGCGCGGGGGCGGGCAACGAGCGGTTTACTCCAGTCAAGCGGTGACCGCCCGCACGTCTGCATTGCAGTGCTGTGCAATTAATTTTTGTGACGTTTCGAAATGTCCTCGGACGTGCAGGAGCAAATTATTTCAGAAATTTTTGAGAGAACACCGATATGGAACAGCAAAGATGTGAACCATAAAAATAGAAAAGTAGTTAACCAGTTATGGGAAGAAATTAAAAACGAACTGAATCTAAATCGCCCTCGATAGCTTCAAGAATATAGTCAAAAGTTTCTACGTTCATTCTGGTGTAGTCGTAGAATTTGTCGGGACATTCTCTCTGTTCTTCGTAATTTCGATAAAACTCGGCTTTTCTTTTCCTTGCCCTATAAGTAGTAGGGATTCACTTCTTCTTTTGCCCACTGTAAATCAAGCGTTAGAAATAAATTTGAATCAAAAAGATGTTGTCGCCGTTGTTCAGACATTTCTTTCGCAAATAAAAACAAACATCTCGACAGCACAACCATGAACACATCACTACGCCGCTATAGTGTCGCGCGATCTGCCCGCTAGTTTCGTGAACGGGTCTGCGTTGCCCGCCTCGCTCCCGCGCCGCCGTCGCCGTCGCTCCGCTGCCCGCAAGATTCGAGGCAGAGGCCTAAAGCTCAACCTAATTACCACCATCGCATCTAGTAATAAAGTCACAAATCTTACGATCATTAGTCATAAAAAAGAACAAAGCTATACAATACTCCTATCACTTGGGTATGAAAATACAAAAATTAAATAACCTTTGGAGTGAAATCAACCTTAACGTGTAAAAAATAAAGTTCTTTTTCCCGTTATTGCCTTGCGAGCTACGTCATTTTGTTATGTTTCTGTTTTCTTCTTCAAATTTGGTCCAGGAAGTATTGAGTCGCGTTGAACACTAAAATAATTTATAATATGATCATAAGTTTAATTAAAATTACTTTTATGTTTTGGGCATTTATGATTGTTGGTATACATACTTTCCACACTAGCCATTAAAATAATATGTATAGTATGTATGTATCTATGTATAGTATATATATAAATATGTGTATTCCTTTTTATCACACCAATTTGCCCTACTCCTGTCATCTTCATGTAATCCTGTCCATTTATTGGTTGTCTGTAAGAAATTGCTGTCAGCAATCGATCGAATCGATCGAAACGATCGCCCATTGCATACTTTTAAAACTTGATAGAGCCATGCTGCAATTATATTAATAGTATAGTTGTAGCACTAATGGGTCGGCTCGACCGGGGAAGAAAGCTAGGAAAGCTAAAAAAATCTAAGTATCTATTGGAATTACCCAAACAAAGACAAAAGTAGCAATTACCATTATTAAGCTATTGCATAGCTTCTATCGCGGGCCTTGAGCGCGGGGACCGAATCCAGAAATTCCGTAACGAAAAAACCTCACGCTCCCCACTCCGACGGGCACGGAGGTGTGGCTTGAAGGCCGTGCATTGTCTAACGTCGTTTCTTTTCGGCAGTCTTCGACACGGTGTTTGTGTGCGTGCAACTAGACGTATTGTACGACTCTACGAAGCTCGCACGAATCGAGACGAGCTGCTCCGAAATCGGACGAATACATAAGCAGCTGTTTATGAGAAAGTATATAGGTGTATAGGTATTTATGTACAACAGTGAATAGCTGTACTTGTAAAATTTATGTATAAAGTGTTTTGAATATGAATGAACAAAGTGCATTTATTATTTATTTATTTAATAAAAGAAAAAAAAATGTTTTCTTATCGGTCACCACGCTCAAAAAGTGTAACTTGAATTAATATCAAAGAAAAAGAAATACTGCATAAATAAAATAAAAAAATAATAATAAAATGCATAAGTTGATACAAAATGCTATGCAATAGCTTTACCGCGGCAGTCCCCGAATGCCACACGTCTTTTTATATATATATATATATATATATATATATATATATATATATATATATATATATATATATATATATATATATATATATATATATAAAAGTTTTGGTAACGAATTATTAAAAATTATTACAATACAAATCTACTTCATGCGTCCATGTTCTGTTTCACAAATGTATGCGCGTGTATTGCTCAACATTGGCAGAACATTTGTAGGGGTGATTTTGATCGGTAATTTTGTTTAAAATATGATATTATTTATTAGTTTGGAGCTTAAAATATAACATATTATACATGTAATTACCGAAAGTAAGACACTCCGGCCGTTAAATTACTTTTTCGGGCATTATTCTTGCAACTTTTAAATAAACATTGCGGCATTGTGAGACGTGCTTACATTGGCTGTGTTTCAAGTGAACTAAACGAAACAAGAGCTCACGTCCGCTGGTGGTGGTCCGCCGACCGCCAGGTTATACGATGGCGAGTTGAGTTTAAGGATGTAAACCCAGCAATGCTGTTGTATTTCGTATGACATTTGGAAATTCTTTTTTTCTTGTAAGGTGGCATTCCATCTTAGTGCTTAGGAGTGCAAACGTACCTATGTTCTTTTTATTCTTAATTAGGGATATAAGTCGAAAAGATTATACGTGGTAAAGCCACGCTGCAGTTATATTATGGTTGTAGCGTGAATGAGTCGCCTACACCGGGGAAGGACCACGCTCTCGCAGATTACCAGCGTAAAATAGCACCTTAATGCTGCTATGTTTCGTATGGTGAGTGTAGAGAACCGGAGACCCGTTTTACTGGAATCGAGGCATTACAACTTAGTCCTCAGGGGTGACAACGCATCTGCATTTTGATTCTTAATCGAAGTTAAATGTAGATGATGTCTATGGGCCACAGTATCCACTTATCATCAGGTGGACTGTGTGCTCCTTTATCACCTTATATAAAAGAAGATCACTATAAACATCAATTTATCATCATAATTATTACAGCCCTATATAAGTCCACTACTGAACATCCTAGTATGCTCAAGGAATGACAAAAATATGGTCCTGAGCATAGAATACTATAATAAATTCATAATAGAACAGGGGAGTGGGCGGAGCCCGTGTAGCCACTAAAATGTCACTAACATCTCAATTCACACGTATAAATGTCAACACGAGAAGTGTTTTGACGTAACAATCGTTTCCAAATTGCACACTATTTACAAATAAATATGTATTAAAATTTAAACGATTTTTTTAAATGATGATCTTACACATTAATCAAAAGTCTAAAATGTTTAACAATTTACTCAGTCTGTCAACACAGCGAATCGAGTTTGTAGTAGTGATAATACGACGCCGACCCTCGTACAAAATAAGGTTGACAACCATTCTATTGTGTATTATAGTATTCTATGGTCCTGAGCCACCTGTATAGGCTAGCAATACAGAACTGACAACCAATGGGAAAGATTATAAAATGTAATGAGGGCCTGGTAAGATATACAGAAAGCCGCTAAATCATGTAATTTATCGGGATAGTATGAATACGATCTTATTTTACAGGAAATCAATTGATCCCATCCTGGGCCTACATGTCCAACGCCAATGTGATCTCAGACAGTGGGATCTTCGCGGGACGAACTGGTTTCAAGACGGGGCTGGTGATCGAACTTAATAAGATTGGGCAAGGTAAGATATTTAAAAAATGGTAAATTTGGAATCAATGATTAGTATTCGTGAGTTTTGCCCAATGTACATTGTGGAGTCCACCTCGCTATCATTGTTTATTAGAGGAAAGTTTTCAGATGTGAAAGTTATAATAATGTCATTTAAATTACAGATAAATCAGAAAGGTTATCTCTAAATCCAGTCGATTTACGGGACCTCCCAGCGGAAGATTTGAGCCAGCACATCATCAGACCTTTAGATTTAGAAGCTAGCTTCCAAGGTTATAAAGAAGTCGTGTGCCACGGGAATTTATGCTGCGAGTTTTATGTGAAGACAAGAGAAATTGGTAAGCGACCGTTGTACGCATCTCATTTTTGATAATTACTTGAGAATAGAAGTAGATGAAGTTCTCTTTGGGCCACAATACTTAATTATCGTGTGGTGAACTGTGTGCTCGTTAAAAAGTTTAATTGATATATCTGAACAGATAATCATTAGGACATGACTCAAATAAAATGAGGCATATGTGCAGCAGTAAAGTTTTTTTTAAATGCCACAATATATGAAAAATGGAAGGACGTCTATATTGTAATATTAACTTCAATGTTATTTTTTAAACGTTTCACCTCTACACTAGGATTTATTCCTGTATCGTGGGGTCAGTTTACATACATGCATTTCCACACAAACATCCAGCCCCGGAACAATTATTTGTAGGCGGTACAAATAATTTTTCCGTGCGGAATTCGAGCCCGCGGCCCTTAGTGTCGCAGCTCATTGCTAAGCCACTGCGCCATGGAGCCGACAAATATAAGATGTAATTGGCGCATATATGTCTTGAAGTATACACCATTGCCACTTTCAGATGGTTAGTACAGAAACTTTTTTTTAATAGAGGTGGGATTGATATAATTTTATGGCTGTCTTCCAGTTCGGGCTGATCTTCGGACTGTTAAAACGATTGTGATGAAACTTCATGAACAAATTAAAAAAAATGGCGGGAGTGATCTACGCTATACTTTATTCAAAAACCTTGGATATTTATTGTGCAATTGAAAAGTTGATAAAATTATTGGTCGTCGATGATTGATATATACAAAAAACAAGCCGAAAAAATGACAACTAAAAAAAAGGGAGAAAAAAACTCCTTGGTTTTAAAAATCGAATACCATTTATTTATTTAACCCTTACGTGCATAGTTTATCAAAAGTGATAATACGGTTTTCTAGGCTCCTAGTTCATGAACTATAGTCATTTAATTTTAAATTTTGATTTCTGAACGCGTCGTTTAATGTCATAATCTTGCCTGTGATTGGTTCAGTCAAAGACTTACATGTGATTGGTCAAAATTTTAAAATTTCGATGACAACCCGGAGTGATTACAAAGTGAACAAATTTGAAATTTTCATCCTAAGAAAGAGTGTTGTGACACTAATAAAAAATAGATTTTTGGAAGGTTTGTATCTATATTTTGTGTCAATGATTCAATTTAGTAATAATATTTAATATTTGCTGGGATTTTTGGGCTTAAAATTTGTTATCAAAAATGATAATATATGCAGTTGCGGTAAAATTTTTCAAAATATTTGTTAATGATTTTAGACCGTTTATTTTCGTAATCGTTTCTTAATTTTAGCTTTGTTTTTAAATAGTCATTTGTTTTTAGGCTGCTAGTAGCGGAAAATGAATGACGAAGACATTTCGACACTCCTGCGGCGGTTAGAAAACGGAGAGGTATCAGAAGATAAAAATGATATTGACGAGGACAGTTTAGATTACTACGATAATGTGGGTGAGTTGCAAGCGGACCATGTAATAGACGAACAGATTCAAGAACAACAGATAGGAAATGATGAAACAGCCTCTGATTTTCCTCTGGTTTTTGAAGAACAAGGAGAAAACCAGTCACATTCCTACGCTACTCCTAGTTTGCGGAATTTGATATGGAAAAAAAAAGAATTTGGCTTTAGTTGAGCAAGCGTTCACATATCACGGATCTAACGACTACCATCTAAATATTATGAATTTATCTTCACCTTATCAATATTTTACCTACTTTTTTGATGAAAATATTCTAAACACAATTGTTTTTGAATCTAATAAATACGCCACACAAAAAAAACGTCAATTTCTCCGAACCAATGACAGTTCTCGTACTGAGAAAATATATTGGTATTTTGATCTATACTTCGGTATATCATTATCCTAGTATAAGATCCTACTGGGTAAATAATGTAAGATTCCATCCAATAGCTGATACAATGACCGTTAATCGTTTTGAGAAAATTCGAGAAATCCTACATTTTAACGATAATGAAGATCATTTACCTCCTGAACATCCTAACCATGACAGATCACACAAAATACGAACAATAGTGGACCACCTAAATCAACGCTTTATGTCAGTTCCTTTTGATCATAGCCTTTCATTAGATGAGCAGATGTGCGCCACAAAAATTTCGCATTTTATGAAGCAGTACTTACCTAATAAGCCTCATAAATGGGGCTTCAAATCGTACGTTCTTTGTTGTCTGATGGGTTACGCCTATTCTTTTGAAATTTACTCAGGAACTCATGACTACAAACGGGTACCAAACGAGCCAGATCTTGCAGCAGTTTACAATACAGTGGTGCGTTTGCTTCGACCTGTACCAAGAAAGGTAAACCACATAGTTTATTTTGATAACTTTTATTCAAACTTGTCTTTGTTTCATTTTTTGTACAAGGAAGGCATATATTGCTTAGGTACAGTCCAAAGGAACAGATTAGGAAGAACATGCAAACTACCAAAAAAGGAAGATGTACAGAAAACATCTGTTCCAAGGGGTTCGTACGACGAGAATGTTGCATCTCTTGATGGTGTTCAGTTTGCAGCAACTAGCTGGAAAGATAACAAACAGGTCCTGCTAATATCCGCGTATGTAGGTACGGGTACATTCCCAAAGAAGCAAAAAAAGAACATAACGATACCATGCCCCAAAGCTATTCAAGAATATAATACAAATATCCCCCATATTTGTATACGATGATATGGGGCGATATAGGATTAGAATGAAATCGAAGAAGTGGACCAATAGACTCTTCCAACATAATGGATATGGCAGTAATAAACAGCTGGATTCTATACAAAAAAGGGTCATTGAAAATGGAAACAAATCCCAAAAATATATTCAAACTTGCTGATTTTCGGACCGAGCTAGCTGAAACTTTGTGCAAATATGGATCCGTATCTAAAAATAAAAGAGGTAGACCCAGCTTGAATAGATATGAAAATCCACAAAAGAAAAGAGCAAAACTTGGTGCACAGACATTACCGCCACATGACGTTCGTACCGATGGAGTTGGCCATGACAAAAGCTACAGCTCTAAAATAAATCAGTGCAAATATACAAATTGCAAAAAAATTAACTTTTGTCATGTGCACCAAATGAAAAATATCTCTTTGTGATAATAGAAAAAATAACTGTTTTCAAGTTTTTCATGCTACATAAAAGAAAATATCACAAATAAAAAACTTTATATTTTCTTTGAATAAATCTAAATTTAAGCATACCACTAGGTTTGGGTTTAAACCCAAACCTAAGCATACCACTGCAAGACTTCATGATACTATAAGCTCGTTTTGCGTAAAAAAAAATTAATATTCAAAAACTGAAGGTAGGCGGACAACTATGACATTGGGACGTCGAACATCTCAGTAAACCCCCCCCCCCGTAACCATGGGTGCTGTAAAGCACCCGAAACGTCGGGAATTAAAAAAAAGTAAAAGTAGTGAAATAAACGCGATAAAATCCGTAAATTTAGTTTTATTCAATGTGTAGTGTTCGCGTAAATTTAAGAAATCATTTATATTTTCTGTTATCACTAAGCAAAAAACTTACTATGAATGCATAGTTTATCAAAATTGATAACAACTTTTTTTCATAATAAAACTTTTAATATCATAGTATGATTTTTTTAATTATTTTTCCTGTGATCAGGAGGTCATGTTTTAACACATATATTTTATTTTTTCCAAAATAAAAATTCATGCATCTAAGGGTTAAAAAAAGATTCTCGGTCTTGTCACAAGGTTTTGTCAAACTTGTTTAGTCGTTGAGAAACAATGATTTCAAAAGGAAGGATATGCCTATCTAAACAATATATACTCATAACTTTTTCATACAAGAAAAAGGAGCGCATCTGTCATAATACAAACGTCATATCATTATACGACGTAACCAGGTTCGGATTTCATAGTATAATTTTATCCTAATTGTACCATTATTTCATAGTTTGTAGTATAGTATCGTAATAATACTAAGCGAAAATACGATAATTTTACCTAAAGGTCGACCTGTACTTTTATTGTGTGGTTTTACATTTTGATATTACACCTACGATATCGAGAATTTTTGTAGTGTATATGAGTTAGAATTAGCTCCCTTTCTGGTCAATTGATGCTCGATTGATGCATTTAAGTTGCATCCTTGACACAACTATGATGACTGGCTACCACGATAAAAACTCTATGCTCCAGAAGCAATCGGTTTGAAAACAGAATTTCAAAATATTTTATAAATCAGATTTTCAAATTCAATTAAGCAATTCGTTTTACCCTTATTCAAAATTTAACTTACACTAAGTTCTTTAGACAAAAATTAAACAGAAATAAAAATAAAACCGTCAAAAAATGAAACGTATAAACGTAAACTAGACGCGTGGCTCCAAAATCCCGGCACATGGGAAAAAAGAAACATGTACAACGACAAACGTGATATATATTTTTTTAAATAGTATAATTTTATTTTCCACGTACAATATTTTTGAGGGTCTGAATCCAACCATGGCCTAATCTTGGTAACTTAACTAAACTAACTGTAAAATAAAACTTTAAATATGCGTTTATATAATAATTTAATTGTAACAAAATTAATATAAGGTTATTTACCGATGATACGATATCTCATGTTTTTTTTTAAATCTTTGTATCGTAATTTTTTCATTCGCAACCACGCAACTAGACATAATATTTGTGACAGACAAATCTGTCCTGCGCGCACACCACTGGCGCCCGATTCGTGTTGGCCCTAAACTGTAATTTTAGGGCCAACGCACTGGTCCGTTTTAGTTGTTCGGTCGGCCCGGTCCTTACGCTAGTAATATATAAGTCAATGTTGAGATAATGGAATTGACTCGAGAAAATTCAAGAGCGATGATTTATTATGACTCGAAGTGGTTTAACACAAAAACAGTGTGTTGACCGGATGATTTCTGCATTTGGTGATGAAGCCCCATCCAAAAACACAATTTATCGCTGGTTTGCTGAATTTCAACGTGGACGTGTCAAGCTTAGTGATGATCCCCTTCAAGGTCGTCCAAAAACTGCAGTCACCCAAGAAAACATTGATGTTGTGCGTAAGCTGATTGAGGAAGATCGACATGTGACATACTGCGAAATTCAGGCAACTTTAGACATTGGCATGAGTCAAATACAAATAATCTTGCTTGAACAATTAGGTGTTAATTTTGGAGACCCCAACTTCCGAATGGAATGGTTGCTTTAATGATTGGTTCCATCGTATGGAAAAATGTGTCAAATTTCGCGGAGAATACTTCGAAAAGCAATAAATACATTTTTAAATAGTAATGTTGTGTCACTTCCTTGATTCCCAAAATTTTCAATGCCGCCCTCGTAAATATGAAATAATTAATTTAAGAACATTACTTATTACACCGTAGTGTTGAAGTTTCCTGATTAATGTTTCATGGTGAACACAATCGAAGGCCTTGTTTAGGTCACAGAATATACCGAAGCATCCTGTGAATTCTCCCATCAGGAAACATCATCATTGGTCGTCAATCATTAAAACTTAATTATGACCTACACGAAGTTGGGGCGAGCTTCTAGTAGATTATGTAGGCGCCCCACTAGACCTTTGCGTAAAGAGTAATTTTAAAACTTATTGCTATTGCTATCAGTATATATAACTATTTAATTGATCCATTTCTGTTTTAGATGCAAAAGCGAGGGATGCACACTACGGCCTGGCTGTTTTCGACGGAACTCGACAAATGGGCGCGCATTACATCGGGGCTCAATCGTGTAAGATTTTAGCGTGTGCGGCCCTTTATAAGCGCACTTGTAATCCTAGGTAAGTTACATATTATACACAATACAAATATTTTCACCCAATACACACAATACCTCTTTTAAAAAATATACGCAATATGCATCTCTAATTTAAGTTACCACTCACCCTTCCCGCTTCTTAAATAAAAAAAATAATAAATAAAAATGTTTATTTCAATTACATAAAGCTTTAAGATACAGGGTTTGGAGATCACCTTTTAAGCAAAGAGATGCTTGTGTTAGGTGACTCCGCTCTTCCACTTAACATTATACAGTGTATGTAATTGGAAACAAAATAAAAGAAAAGAAAGTACAAATACAAAATGGATAAAGGAGCGCACTTGTGTGATGTAAGTGAGTGGGGTCTCGAGTGTACGCGCACACGCGCGCGCGTGTGTGTGTGTGTGTGTGTGTGTGTGTGTGTGTGTGTATGTGTGTGTTTGTTCGTTCGTTCTTGTGTTTATGGGTTAATATTGTTGACGTTGAGGTTTAGGTTAGCCCTTTGAAAATGTCTTGGGATCGGAAGAAGCCAAGCAAAGCTTCCTCCACTAACGATTACGTTACTGTGGTCCAGTTGATTAATAAACAGATTATGGTAACGATGATACCATAGCCTCAATGTCATCGTAGGTTTTAGTCTTAAGCCAATTAGTCACAGCTAGTTTACAGTCACGGAGTTTTAGAGGATAGATGTTTAGCTCATTTATTCAATAGGTTATATAAGTGGGAAGATTGCCTTTCATACTGCCGCTTGGCAAAAACAGATCTAACTGGGACAGTTGGAGCTTCTTGTCACCATTTTGTTACTAAAAATCTTAAGGACCTTCAAGAAAAAAACTTACCCCTTTCTAAAAGATCGGCACGCACCTGCAACTCCCCTGGTGTTGCAGTTGTTCATGGACGGTGGTAGTTATTTTCGTTCGTGTTCTATAAAAAATATCTGCGCAGCTACTCGCGACTAACTTCAGCCCGGTCAAGATAGAGCGCGTGGACATTATACACAAAGCAATGACATAGTGCTTTAATTTAATTAAAATGCTTACACATTTTCAACTCTTTTGTAATTCCACTTCTTTTAGGAATACTAGCGGCCCGCCCCGGCGTTGTCCGGGTGATTTTTGGATCTCGACAACATATGCATGTATTATACATATAAACCTATCTCTTGAATCATTCTGTCTGTTGGCATCAGAATTCGTTGCGTAGTTTAAAAGATCTTAGCGTGCAGACGGCGAGAAACGACTTTGTTTTATACTATGTAGAGATCCGCAGTTTAGTTTACCCACTTTTAATCTAATTATTATTATAATTAATCAAGAAGAAGAATCTCACTTTTCTGACAATATAACTTTCTTGCTACGAGATTCTCAAATATTTCGTTTCATTTCAAAGTGGGGCCTCCCTGGTGGCAGAAAGAATTGTGCAAGCCCTTAATATTATCGAAAAATCCATTCGATTGTGTGACCTTTAAAAAAACAGAAAAAAATCTAATAAACTTTAGACAAAGTCACATCGATGCACTAACTAATTTTCACTTTGTTTCAGTCCAGAAAATAGCATCAACGTTACATTCGAAAAGCTGTCAGTTAGAGGAAACTTTACAAGACATTCAGCGCAGTTTCCTGTGATTTTAACAACTGAAACATCAATACCAACTGACAGTGTCGTATTTGACACGAAGACTGTCAACGATATTCAAAAAGTTGCAGTGGAGTTGTCAGATGCAAAAAATATACTAAAGTTTGGTATTTTTGGGCGTGATTTTTCTAAAGATTTTTATGAAGATTTCAGTATGAATTCGAACAATACGGACATCAAATCACAAGAAATCAGTGATTTTTACGAATACATATTTAACGAAGATTTCATAGAATTCTTTGATTATCTGTGGATTAGAATTAGAGTGGTCATTTTCATTATGTCTATTTATATTTTAGAGATGATGTAAAAGATAATTTTTACTGCATTCATTATTGAAATAGATTTTAATTTTTTCGCAAAATTATAAAATTACTATACAAGCGATTTGAATTTTCGTTGACCTTTCTATCAAAGATACAATTGTCCTTTATAAAGAATACGTAGGTATTATCTACAAAAACTCCATGTCTATGAGATCACTAGATTTCGAGTTAATTTTGTTTGGTTTGTCTTTATTGATTAGATTACAAGACGTAGTTTAAGTGCAAACTGCTTGTATAATTTATATACCTTACGAATACTAATAATGATAATTATCGTTTACATGATAACACGTAACGTGATGTTGGTACACGCTAAAAGTATAGTTATACGGTAACTTTTCATGTTATTTTTAAACGATATATTATCATATTGTAGGGAGTAAGATTTTGGGTGCTTATAGTGGTTCAGTTGGTTTTTCTAAAACTGTTATCCACTCTGCTTTTACCGATAGACGTAATGGGGGATGTAATAAGATTTATTTTATATTAGAACTTTTTTGAATCCTCGAGGAAATGCTATATTTACATTTTTTGAGTTTTGATTAAAATGTAAGATTTTTAATATTGTTTGCAACAGTAATCAAATGCGTACATTTAAAGTAATAATTTAAAATGATTTTCTACCGATTTATACTAATGTATTATTTTTTAAAGTTATAGATTCAAAATTTTCTGAAATGGATAGTTATTGAATTCAAGAGGTGGCAATGTAGTCATATTTATATTTTACGGGTAAATGTGACCTTGTGATTTTTCATATTATTGATTCAATTTTGGCGTTGAAATCCTGAAATTATTTGAAATATGCATGCAAGTTGTTCGCATTTAGAATATTTTATTCAGTACGATCTACCCAACAACTTTGTGAAAGTGTGTAGTTCGAAAATGGCAACACTATTGAATCACGTCACGACTGATTACTGTGATATTAGATTTTATAAACATATTTGTGGTAATAAATATAAATTTTTCAGTACGTACCGATTTGCAGTTTTATTTTTGTTTAATTTTACATTTGAAAATTTTTCAACCCGTAACCTCCAACTACTAAACATATCAGTGGTTGCAGTGTCGCCTAGAGGATTTTGTGCTGGTTTAAGCCAGGATCCACTTTTTGACTTCTATAACAATCCTCTTCAAATAATTATTCTTATATAGAATAAGGAGACAAGTGAGCACACAGTCCATCTGATGGTAAGTGGATGTTTAGGTTAATAGACATTCAACTATCTCTACAACGCCAGGCGCTAAATACCCAGCGATGAGCATCGGGCATTAACTCCAAAGATGCCCACGCCTGGTACAGCGGTCGTCAGTCTGCTTGCCAAAAGCGATGATTAAGACAAATCCATCCCACAACGGGAGATACCTTTTTTATAGAATAAGGGTGACAAAAGAACACACAGTCCACCTGTTGGTAAGTGAATACTGTGGCCCATAGAAATATTTATATTTTATCTTTAATTAGGATAAAAAATGAAGACACGTCGTCACCCTGAGGACTAACATGGGATCCCTCATTTCCAGTAAAAAGACCTTATATAGCCTTGCTCCCATTGGAAAGTGCCTAGTTTGCTACCCATCTGATAGAGGGGGGACGTTTGGTATAGTTACCACGCTTGGCAAGCGGGTTTATTTTTTTATTATTATTCAGCTGATATCAGGCAAATGCTGCTGTTGATTATTTTTGCTTTGTCGCCTCTTACGACACCCGGATATTCTTACATCGTCACTATATAGTACACGCAATAAAGTACTATTAGTATTAGGTAGTACGTAAATACATAATATGTATTTTATTGTTCAATTCATACGTGGTAGAGCCACGCTGCAGCTATATTATGGTTTTTTTAAGGAGAGGCGGCAACCGAGCATGCGGCTCACCTGATGGTAAGTGACTACCGCCGCCCATGATCAACCGCAACACCAGGCGAATTGCAGATGCGTTGCCGGCCATAGCATTAGCATAGTTGTAGCATGAAAGGGTTGGCTCGACCGGGGAAAGACCACGCTCTCACAGAATACCAGCGTAAAATAGCAGCTTGATGCTGCTGTATTTCGTATGGTGAGTATAGGGAACCGGAGACCCGTTTTACTGGAATTGAGGCATTCCATCTTAGTTCACAGGGGTGAGAACTCATTTGCATTAAGATCATTAATAGAGGTTAAAAGTAGATGTCTGTGGATCACAGGATCCATTTACCATCTGGTGGACTGGGTGCTTGTTAGTCACTCTAATTCTATAAAAAAGTGTATCAATGTTTACACAATACCTATTTTTCTAAATAACGAAAAATGAAAACTTCGTTTTTTTTATAAATTAATATTTTATTTACAAGAATGGCGGCTTAGTTCATGCCGCAAATCCTGTTATTCCGAATTTCTGAATTCATCCAAGTTGATTTGTCTTATTCCTTTTGAGCTCCTTGAGGTGATCTTTGTCATCTTCGTTTAGCGTTTTCTCTATCCAATCCATGAATGACTCCACCTTAAATAAATTGACATTATATCACTAATAATCTATATACGTACTGGCTTCTGTTCAGCTCAGGGGGTTAAATTCATTATATTCTATGAAGATATAAACATCCATTTTTTTTTAAATTCTATCTGTCTGGGCCGACTTTGAAATGGTTGAACCGATCGTGATGAAACAGACAAAGAACAATTCCAGGAGGGATCTCCGATACATTGATGATGTCCTCATTTTATTTATATTGAAGTCGTTCACAGTTTTTAATTGTACCACTTATATATTGTACAATCAACCGTTTTAGTGAACAGCATATTAAAAATTTTTACTTAATTGCTTTGATAATAGTAGTAAGTTATTGACAGCCGCATAAGATCCGAGTGCGAGCTGTCTAAGAACCACTATGGCTTCGTACCTGGATTGTCTACCACGGATCCGATGTTTGCTCTTAACACGATTGTCGAAGAGTATCGCGCGAAAAACCGACCATTATATGTCGCATTTTTGGACATGGAAAAGGCGTTTGATCGTGTCCCAAGGGTTACGATCTGGTGGAGCCTTCGTAAGAAAAATGTCCCCGAACACTACGTTAACATCATTGCCGACATGTACAGAGATGCGAGGTCAATGGTTCGGACGGTGGTGGGTGAGAACAAGTCGATAGCGGTCACAGAAGGAGAGCACCAGGGTTCTGTATTGAGCCCTTTTCTGTTTTGTTTGGTTCTGGACTCCTCACTGAAGCGGCACAGAATTCAGCAACGTGGACATTTATATACGCTGACGACGTAGCCATCTGCACAGACAGCCGCGCTCACTTGCAAGAGGCACTCGTGTCGTGGAAACATCAGTTACAGACCGGTGGCCTTGTGCTGAGTGTGGCAAAGACTCAGTTCATGTCCTTCAACGACCAAGATACAAACAACAGTCCGATTTCCATCGATGGACAATTGGTCAAATCGTGTGATCAATACAAGTATCTGGGTAGTATGATGAGTGGTTCTCGGGACTTGGAAATTAACATTCAGCACCGAATAGCCGCAGCGTGGCTAAAGTGACGTGAAGTGACTGGTGTCACGTGCGATAGGAGAATGCCGGTCAAACTTAAAGGTTTAATCTATAAGACCATCATCAGACCAGTCCTATTGTATGGCAGTGAAACATGGGCCGTAACTCAAAAGAATGTGCATACCATGCAAGTTGCCGAGATGAAGATGCTGAGGTGGATGTGCGGCGTTACCAAGCTCAACAAAATCCGCAACGAGTACGTACGAGGAAGCTTGGGCGTGCGCGACATCGCTGACAAGATGTAGGAAAGTAGGCTGCGATGGTATGGGCACGTGAAGAGGAGGCCACCCGACTACGTAGGGAACTTGGCACTACAACTTTCCATCCCAGGTCGAAGATCCAGGGGCAGACCCAAAACACGATGGAAAGATGTAGTGGTAAAGGACATGAGAGAGTGCGAAGTCTCCGAAAATGAAGTCGAGGATAGAGCGAAGTGGAGGCGTAAGACAAGAAAGGCTGACCCCAAAACCATGTGGGACACATAGCCAGGAAGAGAGAGAGAGAGGGTTTAATTATTTACATTTCTCGATGACACCACAATATTCTTACGAATAAGTTCATGGAATTATTTTTAAGGCATAGTAAATAATCATATTGTTACGAGCTTGAGGTTCGTGACGATAAAAATTGCCGATAGAATTACCTAAATTAACACTATAATTTTCTTTACACAAATTAAGACTTAAAACACTAATAATTAAGCACACTAATTCACTTTATTCCGCTCTGAAGCTTCGCTTGTCTCGCCGAATTCATACTTCCCCGATCGCATCTTGCAGCGCCTATAAATACAAATTAGCACCGAAACATTCAGAATATTCAAGTAAACACGCGCAAGGGGCCGAGAATTCGAGTGTCGACTTTTAGAAGCTTAGTTCGTTCCGAGAATAGATGGCGCTGTCGGTTGAAAGATTAGTGATGTCATTTTCTGGAAAGCTCCCCTCGCTCTCGTCCCTGACACTAGATGGCGCTAGTGCCGAATACATGACGTCGACTTATTCGCGCAATACTGCCCCCTCCTAAGACATGCTCGCCCCGAGCATTATCGGCCCCATAATAACGCGCCAAGCGATCTACATGGACGATTTTAGGAGTCCCTCTTGCGCCTTTCTGTATCCGGTAGGTTACATCGTTGATCCTGGTTACAATCCGGTACGGGCCGTCCCATTTAGCTTGAAGCTTAGGAGATTTCCCTTTGCTGCGGACTGGATTGTGCAACCACACTAGTGAACCTTCGTCGAAGCCTTTATTGTTCATTTTGCGGTCGTACCGGGTTTTCATCTTCTCAGATATTTCCTGGCCCGATTGTCTGACGTGCTCATAAATGTCATTCATTTTGTTCCGCAAGTCATTCGCATAATCGGTTATACTGCGTGGGGTATCAGGTGGTATCCCGGTGATCAGGTCTGCAGGCAGCCGTAATTCTCTTCCAAAGTTTGCGAAAGC